CTTTTGGCTTAGTTGGTCAAACTTCGCATTGACTTGGTCCATACTACTCACTTCGTACATACCTCCTTTTGTTGGTTTCTCAGTTGCGACTCTCTCGCTTCCCCAAAGGTAATGATTTTGAGCCATACTTTCGATAAGTGCATAGGCATCTCTATATTCTTTGTCCATCAATGCACCACCCGCGGCAGCGTCAATTGTCATTCTTGTGTTGTACAAGAGTCCATTATAGAAGGTATGGATGACCATCCAGTCTATTAATCCATGATGTGGACAAAGTCTAAGTAGATCCTTATAGCGTTCCCAAGCTTCGAATAATGATTCACTTTCTCTTTGCTTAAATCCGTTGATCTGAGCTCTCAGCATAGCTGTCTTGCTAGGTGGAAAATACCTATTCAAGAAAACTTTCTTAAGTTCTGCCCACGTAGTTACTGAGTTCGAAGGCAGAGATTGAAGCCAAGCTCTTGCTCTGTCTCGGAGCGAAAAAGGAAATAAACGTAGTCTAATAGCTTCTTGGGTAACTCCATTGGCTTTTACGGTATCTGCATATTGCACAAAGATCGAAAGATGAATATTCGGATCCTCGGTAGGATTTCCGGCGAATTGATTTTGTTGCACGGCTGATATCAACGAAGGTTTTAGTTTGAAATCATTTCGGTTGATAGCCGGTGCTGCAATGCTTGAATGCGGTTCACCTTGCGAAGGATTAGCGTAATACTTGAGTGGATGAGTTTGTTCTTCAGCCATCCCTGCGTCTTCTGATTTTACGACTGGTTCAGGCGGATCTAATTGAAGATCTGGAATATTGGAATTGTTTTCGAAATCGAATATACGTCTTCTTACGTGTAAGAAGCGTTCCGATTCAGGGATTAGAGGTTGCAAGTCTTCGCTTTTAGAGCGAGTACTTGGCATACACTCGGAGATTAGATTAAATTAAATAGTTGATACCTTAGTCTAGACAATGCTACCTAAGTGCACTAGTAACTAAATTAAGGAATCCCCGACAACGGCGCCAAAAACTTGATGGGCTAGAGACGTGTCTACTTATGCGTCTAGCGGTATCTTACTGCAAGTGCACAGCCTATCGAAGTAATATTTAAGATTATCGATCCACAGGGATTCTATTGTTACTTAGTGCTAGATGAACTTCTAGTTTAGCTAAGGCGAATGGTTGTCACGATTGTTGTTGGTTTTTAAGACTATTAAAGGCGGAATTAAATTTAAGTTTTTAATAAAATAATACTAAGGCGGTCGGTATGTAATTATACTAACTTAGGTGGGTCAATCTAACCTAGGCTTATAAAGATGTTCACTTAATCTATTCGATAGAGATTACTAGTTTAAATACCCTCAACTCACACTCTCGTGGTCTTATATCAGATCTTATCTCTAAAGCTCTATGCCTGCTCTCGCTAGCCCATAAGTGTTTAGAGGTAATTTTTGGAAACTAAATAATTCTAATTTATCTTAAAGCGCTCTCGCTGTATTTAATTTAAATGCCTAACTTTAGCTATCTGGTTAAAATCTCACACTCTCGTGGTCTTGACCCAACCTAATACCCTTTTCTTACTCTCGTAACGAAAAGGTCTATTTTAATTAAAAAGTATCAGCCAGAATGTTAAGTGATTAATTATTTTAGCCTATGGTTATATTTTACCGGTTAAGTTTGTTATAACTACATACCGCCCTAAGGTATTTAGCTACTCATCGAGGTTGAATCAGACACAGAATTAAATAATAACTTACTCATGGCAGAGAAATAAATAGACATTATAATTAAATTAAAGTGCAATAAATTGAAAAACCTGATTAACAAATATCTGAGTAGACTCCTTCTTCCACAGACCGGAAGGCTTGGAGTAGGCGGAAATAAAAATTAAAACGAATGCTGAAGGTTGGAAACAAATAAAAGTATAACAATTCCCTAATGTTGGAAATTGTTACACGGTTGGTTTGGATACAAATAAAACAAGACAGAAAGTAAAATAATGCTGGAATAAAAATTCTGGTTCGTAAGGTAATTCGGCAGAGCTTCCGCAGGAATTTTGGATAATGAAGTCTGTCCCTGAGTTCACCTGAGCTGGTACTATTTATAGAGCCTTTAATGGGCTGGAGTCTTGATCTTTTGTTTCTTGGGCCTTGTTGAAGTGGTTGAGAAAATGTTGGAATGTGGCAGCAAAAAATGGGAGAAGTCGTCTTCACGTGCTGCCTTGAGGAGAATTACTAGGAGAAGTGGTCTTCAGTGGTGGCTTGACGTAGTCTGAGTCAAAACCAAGTTTTATCCTTGTCACGGGCGTGACAAGGTCTTCACGTTCGTTATTTGAGGATTTTAAGTGTCACGGTCGTGACTACTTCCTCACGGTCGTGATGGCCCAAATTGGGGTGTCACGGTCGTGACACCCTTGTAACGACCGTGGCTGTTACAAATTATGCAGACTTTTTGCAGACTTCTGCCTTGCTTCATCTCTTGTGGTTTCTTTCGTTCCTTTCTTCTTAATTCATGATTCGGCCTCACATAACGATGTACCTGCAAAATAGTAAGAAAAACTCGAGAAATCGAGCGTTAAAACGGTGAATGCGCGATAAAACGTCAATGAAATCTAGCGATATAATCGATGCGTTTTCTCGTCATCAATAACCCCCTGTACCCAAGCATTCATTTACACCTGAAAAACAGAGGAAATTGGTGAATTTGACATTCCAGATCAAATCTACTCTTCCACCGCAAATCAAGTGAAAGAGCGAAGATGGGAGACCCCTAGGTACAGAACCTCTCCTGCCTCAATAGACGAGAGCGAACCCCCGAGACTTCCATCGCTTGTCCCCGAGAGGTTCATCCAAAACTATCCTACGCCCCCGTGGACTTCATTGCTTGTCCTTGGGAAGTTCATGCAAAACTATCCTACGTCCCCGGGGAGTTCATCGTTTGTTCCCGAGAGATTCATCCAAAACTATCCTACATCCCCGGGGGCTCCATCGCTTGTCCCCGAGAGCTTCATCCTAACTCTACGCTAATTCAAAGAAGTTCTGGCGTATTCGCCGGAAACTTCATGGTCTCCCCGGGGCACTCATCAAGTCCACCGGAGAAACCGGCAGAAAATAGGAAGAACGAGGGTAAGGCAGCAAAGACTTACTTGGTACGACGGTTCTGGGAGGATGATACAGCGGCGGATGGCGGACGTCTCGGTGCTGAAGTTTGAGAAGCGCGACAAGAAGAAGAGGAGGCGTCTTGAACAGTAAAAGCAAAAAGTGAGAAATGAAGCGGACTCGGTCATATTTATAAGCCTAGCACGGAACTCGAGGCGCCCCTAGGCACTTAAACGCCCCTACCCCTAGCCGCCCTAGCTAAGCAATGATTGCCTAACACATGGCAGCACTAGAAGCTTCACATCCATTTGTCTACCTTTCGGGCTCGGAGAGCGGGCACATCCTTCACGCTGCCCACCTCCCCGACATGCTGTCCCGTTGAGCATCCTATGCTCTCGACCTGATACACGACTTCCAATTTTATACGTCGGGCAAATACCTTCTCCCGAAGAGGTTCTTGACATTTCGACCTGCCCTTAAGTCATTACTCCTCCACCTAGGGGCAACGAATTGGGGGCTCCTGTTCTAGACTAGGTCGGGACCTGCCCTTCAGACGGGCAGACCCAACCCAATACTATGCTGATGAGGCCCAATTCTCTCTGTTGAGCACAAGCCTCAACAAGGCACACTAGTCGGGCAAAACATTATCTGACACGGGGAGAGCTCGCGTGCTTTCTCCACGTGCCCCCCCACGCGGGGACACGTCATCAGACAACTGCCCACTTTCGAAAGAGTTGGTCAACCCACCTTCCGAAGATCATACGACAGTTGATCCAGGGCGAAGACCACGTGATGATCTTCACTACGCCACATAAACCCTGTCAGTTACTCGTGTTGGATTTGACAATCCGGTCCATTGCAATGTAACCGTTGGCTCTGCGTTGGGGGCACATTATAAATACCCTATTTCACTAGAGGGTCAGATATCTTATTCACTGCACATTCTCTCTATACTTGCTCTCTCTCTCTCTCTCTCTCTCTCTCTCTCTCTCTCTCTCTCTCTCTCTCTCTCTCTCTCTCTCTCTAGTTCCATTACTCACTTAAGCATCAGAGCATCTTGCAGGTACATCCCCTTTCTCCTCTACAATACCGGTGAAAACAGTAACTCACGACACGTAATAAACTAATGACTCCTTTTTGATCAGATACGATTATATATATATATATATATATATATATATATATATATATATATATATATATATATATATATATATATATATATATATATATATATATATATATATATATATATATATATATATATATATATATATATATATATATATATATATATATATATATATATATATATATATATATATTACTAATAACTTCCCACATAACTTTCATGTAAAATTAATATTTAATGCAAATATATCACTTATATTTATATGTGTGCAATAAAAAAGCGGACAGACAGACACGCGAGTGTCCGTCTAGACGCTAGTAGACAATAAAAAAAGACAAAACTTCTTCATTTATTTTAGGAGCGGCACCTCTAACTTTTTGTAAGTATTATACACCCACTTATTCAACCATGAGCATATTTGAAAGTTGAAATAATAATATTAAAACAGTTGGATTTTGTGACCTTACTAAGTACATTGAATTTTGATGATTTTTGTTTATACACTAAATATTGATGATTTGTTTATTTTTTAATTAAATTTTTTGAATGTTTTTGTTTTAAAAGTTGTAAGACCAAAACGATAATCAATAATTATGATAACGAGTATTTGCCATTTGGTATCGTTAATTCTTACCAAAAATAAATAAATAAATAAATAAAATAAATCTGAAGATTATAACTATGTAATCATATAAAGCACTGTGGAATCTTCTTCCTTCATTCTTCTTTTCTCAGTTTCAGAAACAACCGAAACGCGCGCGTGTGTGTGAGATTCAAAGTAGAAATGGAAATTCCAAAGAGATTCAAAGGAAAAGTTGCGATCGTGACTGCTTCAACACAGGGAATTGGTTTCAGCATAGCCGAGAGACTTGGTTTGGAAGGTGCTTCTGTTGTTATCTCTTCTCGCAGACAGGTACGTAAGTTCCTTTTCAATTTCAATTTCATTTTTTTTTTTGGATTTGATTATGAGAATTGAGAGTTGATTCATATTATACTCATGTGAGAATTGGTTAGAGAAGATTAATAAAGAACTGATTGTTGATTGATACTGTTTTTTGAATTGGTGCAGAAAAATGTTGATGTGGCTGCTGAGAAACTTAGGGCTAAAGGAATTGATGTGTTTGCTGTTGTTTGTCATGTGTCTAATGGTCAACAGAGGAAGGATTTGATTGATAAAACTGTCCAGGTTAGGTTTTCTTCACATCAATCGTTAAATCATCTTGCTCTGTGGATGCGATTCTGTCCAATTTCAATAGAAGGCTTGTGTGGATTTTGTACTGATACGTCACTGCCAGTAATAATTTGAAAAAATGAAAAAGTTGAATGTAATTGTGTGTCCGTGCTGGACAGTCAAGACACCAGACACGTTTTTGTCTTTTCCAGAGGTGTCGGTGCTACATTCTTCACATCAACCGTTAAGTCATTTTGTTTGTGAATGTGATCTTGTCCAGTTTCGATAGAAGGCTCATGTTGATTTTAGACTTGTTTAGCAGTGACACGTCGATGCCATTTGAAAAAGTGAATGAGTTGAATGTAATCATGTGTCTATGTCAGAAACTGACACATATTAGACACCGAACACGTCTTTGTTCTGATATGCCTTTGTTGAGAGGTGTCGGTGCTACGTAACTTGTTTAAATCGAATTATAGGACAATATGTTTTGTTATTATGATCTTAATCTTAGTTTTTCAGGGCTTTAGTTTTATAATCTTTCCTATTTATAGTCTTTCTTACTAACTATTTGAATGTAGTTCTAACTTGTGGTTGAATTTTTTTGGTTTGTGTTGGGCCCAAAGGGAAACCCTAGACTTGGAGGGTGCGTCCCCAAAGATGAGGAAGGTAATTAAGGAGTAGAAGATTCCTTTGCTGCTCCGGTAGCCTGGTTAGAGAGAGAGAGAGAGTGAGATAACTGTTTCTATTACAGTGTGTTGCTTTAATAGATGGGTGGTGGGTAGGTTGAGGGTATCTTAGACAATATTCAAGTTTGTTAGAATGGAGATAGGCCCTATGGTAGTTAGAGAACTTCTCTTCTATAAATCGTTCAATCTCAGTGAATAATACAATAATCTCCCTCTTTTATTCATATTTTTTGTGATTTGCTTTCCCTGGTTCCTAACAGTTTGTTAGTACAGAAGTATGGAAAGATAGATGTTGTTGTGTCCAACGCTGCTGCAAATCCTTCTGTCGATTCCATTCTGAAAACACAAGAGTCGGTCCTTGACAAGTTATGGGAGATAAATGTCAAAGCCTCTATACTCCTTCTGAAGGTAATCAAGAAGTGAAAGTGCCTTTAACAAATAGAACAAAAGAAACAATACTATATATATATATGCACATATGTTTTGACATTTCCCATGTGGTGTTGATGTTTGTAAAATGGTGTATTATGTGTTATCCTCCTTATTATTTTTCACACAGGATGCGGCTCCTCACATGCAAAAGGGTTCATCCGTTGTTATCATTTCATCAATTTCTGGTTATCACCCACCAGCTACTATGGCTATGTATGGGGTGACCAAAACAGCCCTTTTTGGACTTACCAAAGTCGGTACTTGGCTTCCAATTGCTCCTTCAAAAATCATATGAACTGTACCGTTTTATTTATTTTTAAAAATGTTATAGTTAGGATAATATGATGTGTAGGCCCTTGCTGCTGAGATGGCCCCTAACACTCGTGTAAACTGTATTGCTCCTGGTTTTGTACCGACTAATTTTGCTTCATTCATTACCAATAATGCTGCTATGGTAAGTATCTTTTGAACCACATAGTTTTTTCCTCTTGCCTTGCTGTGTATAGTTTGTCATTTAAATGAATTTCGTGTGTATGCTACTGCAGAGAAAGGAGCTTGAACAGCAGACATTACTTAGAAGGCTTGGTACAACTGAAGACATGGGTGCTGCTACAGCTTTTTTGGCATCTGATGACGCATCTTATATAACAGGAGAAACTATAGTAGTTTCTGGCGGAATGCCATCGAGACTGTAGCTTACATTCTCATCTCCTACCAGGCTTCTGTTATGGGTCTAAGCCCAAAACGTGATGACGAAATTGGAATACGTACTGTGTTTTCGATACTGTAAGAATAATATCATTGAGCTGGTTTTTGCTTTAGTTATGAAATGATAGGGGTCCTTCCTTAATGAGGGGGAAATAATAGTAATCAAATGTTTTACTTTAAATAATGAATAATCTGTAAGACATACACCAGTTTTGTGTTAAAAATATGTCATTCTGTTATGATTCTGTTTATTTTCTGTTGGCCATGTTGTTTGCATTGCATTTATCAGATAAAGTAGAAGAGAGGATAAGAAATAACTGTAGCAGTTATGTTATGTCGCTGTAGACTTTCCTTTATTCTCTGGTGTGTGATTGCTATAATAAATTTATATCCTTTAGCTTCTGTATAGTAATTATCCAATAAATTATGTTCTTATCCTACTTTATTCAAATATAGATACCAGTTTCTAACACATTAACTAGAGGTAAAGCCTATATAGAATTTATGTAGGTTAGTTTCATAGAATTTGAGTTAGATGCTTTTATTGTTGTCAGTACAATATTCATCTTATAGTTATATTTTGTTGATGTTGTACTCAAAATCCTTGACAAATTAAGTTTACTATTATATTTTTCTACATATTCTATGTTGTGTGTTAGATTTAAATTTTTAGTTTTTGTCTGTGTGAATTTATGATACTCTCTGTTTGTCAATTATAATTGGTTTCACTTAATAATTAGAGAATTGTTCACTACCCTCCATATCATTCACACACTCCGGCGAAAATTCAAAAATACCCCCTTCGCACTGTTTGAATCTTGAAATCAAGACACATTCCAAAACTACAAATCCAATCTCAGAATCACACGAAAGGCAAGTAAATAATATTGTCGTTTGGGCTTACTATGTTTATGAAACATGCTGTCCCATAGCAAATCAAATCTGTTATTGATTGTGCTTTCATTACAAATCATCAACAAAAAGAAAATCAAATCTGTGGAGAGGAAGAGGAAACCCAGTTGTGAATAATTTGAGTTCATGGAAAGATGACACTCGCTCTATGCGGAGTAAATATCTTTGTAGGATGGTATCAATTGGGTGTGGATGAATAACCATTTAATATGAACTAATGCATTTTATGGTTATGGTTTATAAATAAAACCATTTTTATGTTTATCATTTATAAACCAAACCACTTGTTTTAAACAGGTTTTAAATGGATTTTAATTTTAATCCAAATTATTTAGTTAAATTTAAATTTAAAATTTTTTAAATTATATTAAATTTAAATTTAAATATTTAGATTTTAATATATTTTTCTTTGAAAATAAATATAAAAAAAAATTAAAAAACAATTTAAAAAAATCTAAAAATAAAAAATATTTTAAAAATTAAAAATAAAATTGAAAATAAAAAATTCTAAAATAAAAAATTTCAGCAAATTATATGGACTTAAAATGATAACTAATATTTATAATATATATTTGTATATTTCAAAACTTCTATCTATTGGTGAAAAAATTTATAATATTTATAGTTATTTTTTCATAAAGCTTTAATGAACTTCGAGATTTATAAATGAAAACTAGAGTCAAATCCAACAAGTTAAATTGTTAAGGACTAACGAAGAAAATAGCAAATGGTTGTTGGATCAAATTAACATGTTATTTTCTTGCCACACTCCACAGTGATGACTAGTTGACGGAGTATGTAATATTTGTAACCACGAAAGGTTTTATGTCAATGAAGGACATAATAATCGCCGTGATACAATACTGCTTAACTTTTGTTGGATGGAATCATATTCAGATACTGCACCATGATTAATGCGGCCGCATTTTAAGGAATTAGTCATTAACCCGAGAGTCGTTTTCAAAATGTATTTTAAAATAAAAATCATACAATTGATTTTGCCCAAGTGGGAGAATGTTAGATTTATCTAATATTTTATGAGCTACAATTAATTGTGGTTTAATTTGTAAAAAACAAGTTAATCGTGATTCTGATCGGGTGCATATATAAGCCCTTTAATTAATTAAGTGATCAATTTTTAACTAATGACTGAGTATCTGAAACCTGATTGGTGTGGGTAAAAGTGTGGGCTTTAACCATGGGCCCATAATGGGTAGGGACTAGGGTTATATATATTATATGGTTAGATCCCTATGTAATCACAAAAAGAATCAGAAACATAACTGACGGCTCCATAACTTGCCCCATTGAAAGTTGTGAACGGGAGTGTGAGATACAGAGGAAGATCAGGTCATTCATCCATTTGGAATTCCGAATCATGACTTCAACAAGTAAGTATTGATGTTTTAATCTCATATAATATCCATGAATATTTTCGCTTACATTTAAATATTGATATTTTAATCTCATATAATATCCATGAATATTTTCGCTTACATACTTCTCATATTGTTAATGGTAGGAATTAACAGGGCTCTGATTTCAATTAGTATCAATCATCAATAAATTTAATACTATTATTAATTTTTTTTTAACTATTGTGATTTTGTAAAAAAAAAAAATCTTATATTTAGAGTCTGAGATAGTCTGAGATAGTAGTTTAACGTCAGCTAGGGCATGCACACATCAATAGAGGTGATGTGAACAATCTATTTCGAGTGATTGAAATAAATTATTTGGATGCTGAAAGATGATCGAGTATGGTACGAGTCCTATGTTCTCTTAATCTTTCATCTTTATACGTTTAGTCTTTGTTTGATTCCACACTTTTGGCGTATAGTGTTCCACACTTCTAATTCATTTATGAAAAAATGGCCATTAATCAGATTCCACACCTTTTTTATTCAAAGGTGAGATTCCAAACTTGGAATATCTGCTTTGCAAAATTTCAACCCATTGCTTGAATTGGAGATTAATTATATAATCCGCAACTCAAATGCTTAAAGAACCTCGTATATATATTATGTTATCTCTTTGTTAGTGCTTCATTTTTCACCAATACATGGAATCAAACAACCTCACAAAAATTGTGTACATGTCTCTACCTCACCAAAGTGAATAAGCTCGAATTTTTCTGCCTAAGAAAATATGTAGCAACGACACTTCATATTGAAATACTATGTGTCTGATCAAGACTGTCTTAAACTTTTAGAGGTTTCGTATATGTTAATTATAGTTCAAACTTGATAAAACAACGAAAAGCTATATTTAACCATAATTTAACCGTGACAAATCTATTATAATACCTTATTTATTCACTTAGTAATCGTGACGAATTTGAAGTCTTGTGCTATATGTAATGTTGTGTCAGGTATGGTTGATTGTTAAATGCATATGTAATGTTGTGTCAGGTATGGGTGGTTTTGTATAATAAGAATCAATGCAAGTGAATCAAAAGGTATTTTGAAATGACACTTGTCTTGTCATGACTTTATCTTTTAATTACGTTACATGCCACATGATTTATAGGACTTTTTTAGTCCCAACGATGTGGTGCTTGCTAGAGTTAAGAGATGGGATATGGTACATATCCCAAATGTAGTACAAAAGTGAAAATTGTTGGAGGAGCTGAATGCAAAGCTCAAATCTAAAAAACTTTGCACTGTGGCCACTTAAAACATTGATTGATTATGATGCATGCAAGAAAAGAAACTTAAACAGAACAGAACCAAAGTAAGGTAGCTCCATTAAATTAAAATAGACCAAAAACACCTTTTTATTTTCTTTCTTTCTATCACTATATCAAAGTTTACTTTTGAACCAAGCACTCACGAGACATCTCTGAAACTTTTTCCTTTCAATTCATCTTTATGCTGCTAAACAACCTAATCCTCCTCATCCTTCATCCTATTAGAAAAAGACCGTGAAAACTGTTTTTTCTTCTTCTTCCTCTTCCACATATTTTCATGAAACTTCTCTTCATTTTGTTCATATTTTCTTCCTACAATGAAACCTCAACACCCTTTTATATTCCTTTCTTTCTCTCTAGCTGTTATGTGTTGTAGCCGTTTTTATCCTTCGCAGCTTTTTTGAATCAAAAGGGTCTTGTTGCTTGTTATGTATCATAAATGAAACATTTTGATACATGCTCTTCAACTTTCGTCTTTGTTGGAGCCGCCTATGTTTCGAAATCGGTTTATGCACTTCCTGAAATCAATTCACACATTCAGAAGAAAAATTCCTTTTGACAGTCTATACTTTTGATCATAACCATCACGCGCACACACAATAATAAACCATTTTCCAAAGGCATGAGCTTTGCTAGAACTTCGATGGCAGGTTCATGGTTCACCAAGCTTCGCATGCGAAGGTCTAAGAGTAATAAACCCTTACCAGAACCGTCTTCTTCGTCTTCTAAGACTCGGTTGAATTGTGACGCGGACAACATGGAAAGAAAAAGATTTGATAGCTTAGAATCATGGTCCATGATATTGGACTCTGAGAATGTCGAAACATGGGAAGCATCAAAGGAGGATCAGGAAGAATGGACGGCCGATCTTTCTCAGCTTTTCATAGGGAACAAGTTCGCGTCCGGTGCTCACAGTCGGATTTACCGTGGAATTTACAAACAAAGAGCTGTTGCTGTTAAAATGGTGAGGATTCCTAATCAGAATGAAGAGAGAAGAACATTGCTAGAACAGCAATTCAAATCTGAAGTTGCTTTACTCTCACGTCTCTTTCATCCTAACATAGTGCAGGTAACTATTTTATCCTTACAAGTTTTTAATAATTCTTATGTCCACTTCTTGTCCTTATGGTCTTTTTTTGTTTTTTTCTTCTTTTCTATTGGTTTCAACTTTCTTTTCCTTTCGTGTCGATTTTTATGTGTATTTTTTAAATCCGCAGAAGCGGTGAAAAGATAAACAAATATATACGGTGTGTGTATTCGATGTTGAAATAACAAACTCTTATTAGTATTTTAAAGACTCGCAACCACTTACCACTTTAGTAGGGAAAATTTTAATACCAACTTGATCTCAAATATGAGTTTTCTTTACTTTTTGTGTCATGTTTT